TTGGAGATGAAGATGGACTCACGTACATTTTTTCGGTGACATCGATCGTCGCCCAACTCTGGTCTTCTATGCTGAAGCAAATTAAAAGTGAAGTGGGAGCACTCACCCAAGAAATACAACTACTACTAAAAATTGGTTAAAATCTATTTTAGGGTACCCCTTGGCGAAAATTTCCGATTTTTGGCGTCATTCCTGTCCCCAGTAAAATGGCGTCCAAAGCAAAATGCAATAAAACATAATTAAAACAAAAAATATATAATATCAGTAAACTGCATTTTAAATCAAACAAGGAAATAACATAAAAATGGAAATACATGTTATCTAATGTGCGCAGTACGAAAAGGAAAAAAAATTCTGTTACTACGATATGTGTGACACACAAAATTCCTTAACGGCATCCAAAAACTGACTAAAATTATCTGAACTAGAATCTGTATACTGGCGTCACCACATAACTTCACAAAAATAAGAATCAAATGTAATTCAGTTTTAATCATTTTAGTATTAGCTTCGTACACCCACATCCACTTAAAAGTTAAAATCTCAATAATACTCAAATGACTCTCCTCCAACGACGATCCCTTTCTAATGGAACGCTTTATATAGTGAGCGTTTGGATCTTTCTTGCTACAAAGCCATTCAAAGCCATTTGAACGACCTTTACGTTGGGCCATACGCATTTCCTTCGTACAAGCAGGACACTTACAATGATTATCAGTAAACCAATCAGTTAATGCTTCTTTTCCCATTCATTCCAAACCCTACAGAAACTTCAGATTAACCTTATTACAGGCAGCCATTTTACGGTGCACAGCACAAAATAAGCAATGTACGTGACATCCAACACAGAAATGGCCCACCAGCGGCCGAGCGGTAAAGTCACTGAACACAGGTAGTTCGGTCCGAGGTTCGAATCCCGCGAACGGGCTGGCTGCATGGGTGTTTTCGTGGTTTTCCCCATGTGTAACGTGTATACGAGCCAGTTTCCCTTGGAAAGTTCTTCACGAAGGCATTCCTCCCCTTAGGCAGATAGCCCTAGAGTGCTTTGCCATAATTAAATACACCACACCACACCAACACAGAAATAAGCTCTGAGAAATTAAAAGCACCTCGATGACTCATTACAACCAATCACGTCATAACAGGGTTTCTATAACATTCAACTACTCAGGTTACCATAAATAAAACAAAAACTTGGCGGTAAAGGAAACAACAACTTGGCAATAATCCAAGGGGTACCCTAAAATATAGACTAACCAAAAAAACCTGTAAGCAATAGATCATCTAAAGGAAATGAAGACGAAAATTGTGGAATTTGTTTAATTGTGATATTTAGAATATGTGCGTGATCTGTGCTTTATGACTGCAGTTAGAAGTGTTTTATTATGGTGGTTACGATGTAGGGACATTAGGTATTTTTGGAAGCAGGCAAGATGAAAAATTAGCAACGCATTCGCCGGGAATCGAACCACGGACCTCTGGAATACGCGCCCAGCGTGCAGGCTAACACACCACGAAGACGGGAGAAATACCTTATATACCTTCTTTTTTAAAGGACGACTGGGGTTTTTAGAGGACCCAATCTCCAAATCCTGGGTGGGGAGAATCATCATCCACCACCCTTTTAATCCTTTCTACATCCCAACTATAGAGACATTAGGTTAATTGGAAAAGCCGGGGAGATGAAAAATGAGCAAATTCCAGGAATCGAACTGCGGACCTCTGGAATACGCGCCCCAGCGTGCAGACCACCACACCACGAAGGCACGACAAGAAGGTGGGAGAAATACCTTGTAACGATATGCTAAGCATAGATATTTAATTAGCTATATTTTGACTTTGTAAAATTTATAGGCTTAATTATTTGAAATATTATACGGAAAAATAAAAATATTATCTTTATTTATTATTTATTATTATATTTTCCATAAATATTAATTTGTATTCAAAATGATGATGTAATCAAACATTTTGAAATTGCGTAAAATTTAATATATATATCAGTTTTTATATATATGTTGGTTAGATCAGTTTTGATATATATATGTTGATTTACTTAATATTTTATTTAAAATGCTGTACAGAATTATTAAAGCAATAAGATTTTAGGCAATAGCATGTGTAATTTAAGTAAAAAAAGATTAGCAATGAAATATAATGTGTGTTATATTGCATGTAATGCTTCTGTACTGAGGCTATATAAATTTGATACTATTGAAACTAATTAAACACAAGTTTATGTAAAAGCTAATAAATGAAATAATGATATATATTATAATGCATAATCATGTCTAAATTATTTTCTAGAATGTGCAGCTGGATATTTCGCAACAATATATAAAATCGAAAATTTAAACCCAGTACATATTAAACCTAGAGTAAGGAGCTGGCATTATGGTAAAGTTGTCTGAATATGGCAAAGCCACGACGTCAACCTAACAGGAAGGATGCCTTCGTGGAGGACTTTCTGAGGGAAACTGGCTCGTATTGGGGAAAAACACGAAAACCAATCACGCCACCAGCCTTTTCCGCATAGGTTCGAAATCTAAAGCAGGTCAAACTGCCAGTATTATTAACCACTCGGCAAACGGCGGGGCGAGCTGGCATTAAATAAAACTTTTAGCAAAAGCAATAAACTTTTGTGAATAATTAAGGAAAAGTATCAAGTTTTGAAATTCGTAAGTGCAAAGGGGTAAAAAGTGCCCTTTCTGCAGGAAACGATGTACAGGAAAATGTAACTTCTTCTTTAAATTAAAAACCTTAGCTATGTACCACGTTTTTTTTTTGCATTTTTTAGCTATGTACCATATTTTTTTGCATTTTCTTGAGCTTACTGAATTTCAAGCATCATTCCAGCTTGAGACTTTTTCTTATTCAGATGTTTCAGATTCAGAGATAGAAAAGTGATTCTCTCTGACCTTTTATTTATGCAGAATCTAGTTACATGCAGAAATTGTGAGAAAGAAGGGAAAACACAAAAGCAAAGCTGACGTAATTTCAGATTTCATTGTAATTAAAATGGGTTTCCATTGTAATTAAAAAATTTAATGCTGGCAACTAAAAGGGAATTTTATTTGTTAATTCCTCTACAGACAGTAAATTGTTTGCATTAATTTCTTAAAAGTACTTTTTTTCTTTTCTTTACAGGTACGTTTTCCACTAAGATAAGTATTTCCTTATTTATTTCATAATGAAAAAGAATGCGATAATCTGCCTTAAATAAATCCAATATTAGTATTTATTTCAGATTTCTTAGCTATAAAAAGAAGGATTATTCCACAGTAATTACTGTTTGAATAAGGCATTGTTTGTCTTTCTTTTCTCTCTAGCAATTGTAAATACATGTCTTTCATGCATACTACACATAGAAGTTTCTACACGTAAATGAGAAGATTAAAAATGGTAAATTTCAAATAAAATATAAATTTATAAATTACGTAAATTATTATTATTATATTTAAATTTACATTATATAAATTTCAAATAACCGCTGGCTGGAGCTTAAAAAATGCGCAGTCTGCCACATGTGAGGTCTAATTTATCTATATTGGATTCCCATATGTTTGCTCCCCGAGAAAGATATAAGGCTTGTTGGTGTCAATCTACAGCTATAACTAACAAAGAACTTCCGCTAAACACTTTACTGATTGAAAGCTGTTTGTGCTTGCTATTTCCGTCGATTTATGTTTTGTAGAACAAAAATAGAGAAAGTAAACAAATCATCAGTCCATTGAATTAAAAAATAATATTTAAACAAAGTAGAAAAGGAGATGAATATATAAATATATATATTTTTTAATTTGCCTAGGACCGGCAAATTAAATTCTATCCGTGGGCTGGATAGAGCTTTCCGGCGGGCCGTAGTTTACCCATCTCTGCACTAAGTATTAAAATGCTTTTCGTTGTTTTAATATTTACATGATGTTATGTGTATCAACACTTTTTTCATTATATGCAAAAGGTAACTTTTAATTTTATTACATGCCACTATCATTATGTTAAATACTTGCTGAAATATATTTCAATAATGATTTCATTAATGTAAATATTAAGAAACATATTTAAATTAAAAATCCTTATGAAACTTTAATTTTTTAAATCATAAAAGTTATGGAAACTTTTTCTCTTACTGTGTATGAAAAGGAATTCCCACTTTAATTTTCAACAAGACTTCTCCCCAACTACTCAAGGATTTCTGGCGACGAAAGGAGTTCTGTTACACATAATGCAGAATTCAACTACACACAGTACCGGAATTCAATTATGCATAGTACATAGTCAGTCAAAAACATAGAACGATTCCGTTACGTACAGTATACAACTGAAATTACACACAGTACCGAAGATTATCTCATTTGTGGCTGTGACTAGAACTACGACTTCTCTCAAAAAATGAGAAGTTCCAGAGTCGAGCTTAGGTGAGATTTAGCTGAATTTAAGTACTGTTAATAGTAGTATAACAAATAGAATTAATAATTAATATTAATAGTAAATAATATAATATTTCTATTTAAAGCTAAATATTAAGTAATATTTTAATGTGTTAATATTAAGACCTTAATTATTAAATTAAAATACTAAATATTAGACATTCAGCACATTCATATTAATATTGAAATATTAAATTAATAATAAATGATGAAAATTCTAAAAATGACATTTAATGGAAATCTGGTTCCTTTTAATACGAAAATAGCAATAAGATGCTTCCTTTAACATTCAATTAATTTTTCCTGAAGCTTAAAGAGAACACAAAGCGTCTCATCATCTCGCATCCAAAGCGTCTCATTTCAAAATGTCCAACAGTTTTATTTAAAACCAGATTACAAATACCAATTACTCAACTTAAATGCCATCATGAAAATCTTAAATTAAAATTTAAAACTATCTTTAAGTTCCTGCCTCTATATTTACTTATTATGGTTCATATTAAGATAGAAAATAATTTCTAATTTAACTTAATTTTGTTTAGTTAATTAATATTAAAATCAGATTTTAACCTTTCAACGCCATTCATTCTTGAGCGGTATTTTCTGGAGAGTAGAACTCCTCCTCCCCAGGCAGCCTGAAAATAAAAATAGTTTAAAAAATTAGTACGAGTGAATAAACTTCACATGCTCTTCAAAGAATTATCATCTCTTTTTTAAAATATTTATTGTGTATAACTGTTTGAAAGCCTTATGCTACAGAATGTGAAAATGGATTTCAGAATTAAGTTTAAGTATTTCTAATGATAGTATAGTCTCTAATACGAAAGAACTTTGGACTGACTTCTAGAGAAACTATCATGATGACATAAAAAGAGTGACCGATACTTTCAGCAAAATGTATCACGAAAAAATAAGGGAAAGGCTTCTGCTCAAATCTTAATTCAAGAAGAAGCTTTACATCACTTTGTAAGGCATATTTTAATTTTATAACAGTTATTTTAATTTAATGCTTCTTTCCTAGCTTAACTCGTTTCAACTTACAACTTCCTACCAGAATGAGTTTTTAGAAGCTCGTTTAATACAACTGAGGAAGAGAATAGTATTAAATTCAAGTTCAACTGACTTCGAGAGAAAGAGTTATGATTCCTGAATAGCGCACGTTTCCCTTTGTGCTACGTCGCTCTGAGCTGTTGTTACGCTCGGCCGTAGTATTACGTGCCTTTTGATAGTTCGCCGGCTAGTTTAAAATTGCTGGCCACCTACATTAGAACTGTGTTAGCTTCGGCTAAATCTCTTTTTAAGCCTAAGTGGAGGCTTTGCTGTACGCCCGAAGAAAGGGGCCGACTATTAATCTTACTTTGAGTGAATAAAGGGTAATTAACCCCTTGGCCTACACGATATCTACCAGTTGCGCGAGCTATAGTAAACAAGAGAGTCGGTCGTGCGCCGCGCCATTCAACTGTTCAGCCGTGTACCCGAACTGGCGCAAAATGTATACTTTTCATGACATATATATTTCAGAGTAACGAAAGGAATTGTGAAATAATAAACAATGTTTGAGTACAAAGAGTAATTTTAAGACATCTAGGGTGTAATCATAACCAATTGATCAGTTGACAAAAATAGTTGCATGAACCCATCATGCAACTATTTTTGTCAACTGTGACTAGAGGTTTTCTTAATTCTTTATACGAAATTATATTTGAAACGTGTGAACGTAACGAAGCTTCACCGGGAATTAAAGTAACAGATCATCCAGTTTCGTCAGAAACAAGTGAAAAAAAAAAAAAAAAAGAAGAACACTAAGGTTCCAATCAAAGGAAAAATATTCGATGTAGAATAACTCCAATCGCTTGTTCTAATAATAATACGCGGCATTTTATGCACAAATTCCTCACCACGAGTCAGACTCGTAACTTTTGTTTATGACACAAATTCTTTACCATGAGACAGACTCGTGGCTTTTGTTTATGGCACAAGTTCTTTATCACGAGTCAGACTCATGGCTTTTGTTTATGGCACAAATTATTTACCACGAGTCAGACTCGTGGCTTTTGTGTATGACGCAAATTCTTTACCACGAGTCAGATTCGTGGCTTTTGTTTATGACACAAATTCTTTATCACGAGTCAGACTTGTGGCTTTTGTTTATGGCAGAAATTCTTTACCACTAGTCAGACTAGTGGTTATAGGCCAAAGGGTTAACTCAAGAAGGGTAATTAGCCTTTTTGGATTTACGCTTTCTGTTCTCGGAACTAAGCGATTACTCGCTTAGCAGTTCACTAGATTCCTCGACATTTAATTTAACAGAACAGGAACTCTCTAACTTATATATAAAAAAAAAACCTAATTTTCTTGTGATGTAAACGCTCAGCTAGTAGTTGAAAGCTCTGTGGTTCGAACCCTGGTGATAGCTTAATTGATTTTTTATATTTCTTGATGCAGAATATCTAATGGTCCCTATAATTAATCTTACAATTTATAATACAAAACTATAAAATTCGAAAACAAATTTTTTCTGTCACTTAAGCAAAATTAATTTAAAGGCGTCAATATAAAACTTTTATGGTTTCATCCGGAAGAAAAAAGAATGTTGAATATAAAAAAGGTTAATATTAATTTTCTTTCTAGAACTCAAAATGAATAATAAAACTCTATATCAACAAGTATTCTATAATCTACAGCGAGGAATTAATGTTTGAAGCATCCATGCAAATTTCAGAAATAATTTGAAGATGCCGTGTCAGTATTTTAAAATTAGCATTTACGTCTAATGAAATGAAATTAGGGTAAAAGTTTAACCCTGAAAACATCTGAAGAAATAATGTTTTAATCTTCCTTATTAAATAAAGATATCCACTAGATAAGTTGTGTAATTTGCTTTTGCTAATGAAACTGAAACTTTGTATTTCTTGGGATAAAAGAACAATTATTCATAACAAGGTGTAACTATTTGGAGAGGAGGGGAAAAAAGCATGCGTATTCTCTGTGTTTGTAAAGACTAAATTTTTAAGTAATTATTGTGACACACACAGGGTCTTATATGATATTAAAAAATAAATAAAACAAGGTCTCCATATATCAAAATATAAGAGAACAGATTAAGCAAAAAATTGCTTTAAAAAATTAGGTGCTACATGTTTTGAAACATCAGTTCATGGGGTTGGTACAACGAGATAATGTAAGAAGATAGCCACATTTTTTAACTGTGTAACAAAACTTTAATATTACCAAAAATGTATTCAAACCAATTAATAACCTTACAGTTTTGAACATTATGTAGCTAAGTGTTCATTAATGTAGTCCTACCAAAAATGCACAGCAAACAAATTTAAACAAATCACTTTAAAAATTATGCTCTTATTAATTAATAAATTTGCTTCATTTCAAGACCTTAGCTCTCTTTATAAAGTAAACTTTATTTCCTGTAGCATAAATGCTTATTTCTGCACCACTTCCTTTTTTTTTTTACTTTTATTTAATTTTCGATTATTTAACTAGTACTAATCGTTAATTGATACGTGAACTATAAACGTACTTCGCATAAACGTACTTGCATCGTTAAAATAAAAGCAATGAACACGCTCTTTTTCTATCTTTCAAACAGTAGCAAGCAGGTGGACAGAGGGTAAAAATTTTTGCTTCATGCTTTTGTGTTTCATACAAGTAATTACAGTTTGCATTTGCATACTGTTAAATATTATGCGTTATATATGGCAATTTTTTTTAAGTCTCTTTCACTGGTTCCTTAAAATTTAGATTATTTTCGCGACTTTATTACAGCTTCCGAAATGTTACCAGTTTAACAAAATTTTAGAACCCAATTTTTAAAATGTTCTTCTTTTTTTTTTTTTTTTTTTGGATTGTTATAATTTATTCATATAATTGACTTCTTAACTTTAGACAATTTTATTAAATTAATTTAATTTATTTTACTTTTATGTTTGGAACTTAATCTCTGCTCTTGGCTGCCTTTGATTTACTTTTTTTTTTTTTTTTTTTGCTGAAATTGAACCGTACTTTCCTTTTTAATCACATAGGGTTTGGACTACATTAACAACTGATTTAGTAACCTCATTTCACCTCAATTTTTAGAATCTGTTAATTTCAAAAACGATTATTTTATTAAAATTTCCTTTGTATTGTTCAGAAATATGGCTGTCTTGTTAAATTATCTCATGGCACCAACTTCCTGAACAGGAGCTGCAAGATATTTTCGTTTAATTTTTTTTTTTTTCGTTTTAATTTTTGAAATACTTTGGTTTATTCTTTAATTTTTTTTCGACTTCTTACTTTACAGTATTAAAAGTTCTTGTTTTCTAGAAAAATTTTAATTCATTCATTTTATTTATATTATCATAGCTACTAAATTTACTTCAGCTTTTAGTGCATCATTTAATTTAAGTTTCTATTTTCGCTTATTCCTTTCATTTTATTTCATTTTTAATCCAAAGGGACTATTGTTTTTAATTTGCGATTTTGCGTCGGAACCTTATAAACGGCGTATCACCAATCGTTGCCACCAAATACTACCGCCCTGTATTACATTTGAAGAAATTAAATAATAAAGAATCTGCATAAATGTATGCATGTTTCTTGCATTGTGATAAAACAACAGTACCTAGAGCCATCCAATTTTGAATGACGTAATCCTACCGCGAATATGGGCACCTGGGAAGTCCAAATTTGAAATTTGGAATTTGTTTTTTAATCGATTTCATATTTTGTAAAATTTTAACGAATTTTTGATTAACAAACTCAAGTATTTCAAAGCGAGGAATGGGAACGTTGAACAGAAAAAACGTTTTTATCTCCAGCGCGTGAGACTGCGCATCGGAAATTCTAAAGGTATGCTCAATTTAAAATTATTTTGCGACATTGCTCTTGAACTATATTTTATGGTTTAAGTGCGAAGAACATGATATTTAATAAATAAAGGTAACACACAAAATGTTAAAAATACGCCTCTTTGGACGTAATTTAAAATCTGAAACTTTCTCTTCCTTCATTTGCATTTAACCGCGATTCTGAAAGCACTGGCAGAAAATTTGTAAGCTGAAATTAGAAGTGATAGTAAAGTGGCTTTAACTAAACATTTAAATGAAAAAAAAATTTTTTTTAGTACAGTTTTGCCATTGCTTGCTTTGAAATCGTTGAGTTTTTTAATCAAAAATTGATTGAAGTGTTACAAAATATGAAATCGGTAATAAAACAAATTTCAAATTCCAAATTAGGACTTCCAGATCTCCATATTCGGTGGAAGATTACGTCGTTCAAAATTTGATGACTCTATGTACTGTTGTTTTATTACAATGCAAGAAACATACATACATTTACGCAGATTTTTCATTATTTAATTTCTTTAAATATAATACAAGGTTGTAATATTTGGTGGCAACAAATTAAAAAGTGACTCACCGTTTATAGTGAATCAACGCAAAATGCCAAAACGAAATTAATAGCCCTTCTGGGCAAATTGTCCCCTTTGGTCTAATAAAATAAAACAAAATAGGAAGAAAAAAAAACACAGTTCCAAATATTTTAAATTTAATTGCATTCTCAAGTCTTTTTCTATACATACTACATTCTATACATAAAACTAGTATAGAATAAGGAGATTAGCATACAGCCAAAACAATAACAAAAAATGTTCTTTTCAAACAATTCCTTTTATACCCTAAAATATCTGGAAAATTTCTTTGAAAAATGAGGGTCTTAAAAAACTAAACATGTCTAAAATATATGGACTGGTTTGTGTTGAGCTGCCATCTACTATAAATAAAGAAGGTTCAGAGTAACCTATAGTAACTTATAAATCCTTTTTTCATTCAATTTTTCTGTGCGTACAGAAGGAAATTTTTAGGTGTGTCCAGACCGGGCACACTGTGCCGCAAAGGGTTAAGATTGCTTTTGTGAAATTTACGCGAATCAAGTGAGAATTCGATGAGATAATATTCATTATTGAAGGCGTATTTCTCTACAATAGACAGGAAATCTAAATCTATGCTTTATTTTTAATTTAAAAACCTTTTGTTTCCTCAACTATGAATATATGTTTGTTAATCATCATGTTGAATCTTAGCATAAACACACTGGTTTACTATCTTTCACAAGTATTAAGGAATACATGTAATGTTTAATACTGAAAATATTAAATAACTTTGCTCATGCAGTACTCTAAAACGCATCATCAGAAAATTTAAAACAGAAATACTCAATATTCACTTACATCAACGTGAAGCCAGAGGCCATATTTATCACAAATATCAGCACACGGCTCTATCGGATCAAAAGCTCCAAGAACTGTCGTCCCAGCGGTACAACACACAAAAAATGGTTTGTTACCTTTGGCTTTATCAGCAAGGATGCATTTTTCCAACTCTTCTGGAATCATGCGGCCCCTGATTGAAAAAAAAAAAAATTAAATTCGTTTTGCAGATTGAGAATTCTTTTATATATTCTTAATTTACAAAAAATGACAGTGATCAGAAGTTATTAAGGAACAATACCCAGAAGTAAAAAACAAAAGTTTGTGCGCTAGGATTTAGGATTTAAGATCGGGGAAGATGGGCATCACACCTTTACCATTTGGTTAATTGGTTTAGCGCCGTCTCCCTACTACGTGATCCCAGCCGTTTATTGGTATTAACAAAATAGATACATAATTTGGAATCAATACATAATTTGGAATAACCCATAGTTTGGAATGTAATACAAAAATTTGGAGCATAATGTATAAAATAACACAATAATAAATGTACAGAATTTTGAATGTAATACAAAAATTTTAAACATAATATATGACATAACTCCTTAAAATATGTACGGAATTTTGAACATAATTGCGACGAAAAGAAATGCTAGTAACGAAGAGCAGTTTATAGTTCCAACAAAATCCTCAGTTCAAAATCTATGGTCCATAATCTATAGATATAGTAAAAAAACTATAGATCAAAGTCTGTAAATAAAATTTTATGTTTATGTAATTCATATATATAGTTCAAATTTTTAGATTTTGCAAATATACAAATAGTTCAAATAGTTCATGTGCAAATATAGTTCATATTTCAAAATGTTTATGTATATAGTTCATATACGTAGTTCAGGTATTTCTAATAAAGAGTTCAGATATATAAAAAAATTGAAGTTTCTAAAATATAAATAGAATTAAAGTTTAAATAAATTGTAGTTTATCCTACTGTTCAAATTATGGTAATTATGGTAGATGCCATGAAAGGTTCAAATTATGGGTAGATTCCATGAAATTACTTGGAATATTTGTAAAATTTTAAAATCAAGATGATGTAGTAATGCTGTGTTATGCTCGAACACCAGTATCACACCACTCCTGTATTCAATTTAAGTTTGCGTGTTAGGTGATTGTTAGAGAAATTAACGAGCTTCGTTGTCAGCATTTAAAGCAATCTCAGTTTTTCCTTAACTACCATTACCTTTTAATTGCGCAATAAAGCTTCTCTAAATTATTACAATGCAATATGATGTACCAGTTTTAGTCGTAGCTTAAATTATTAGACGATAAGTTTAAAAAAAACAGGATCCCTTTATTATTATTCAGGAGAAATAGCAGTTACAAAATGAGATATCCGGAGAAATTAGAATAACTAATAATAATAAGAATTACTAATAACTTTTTGTATGATGTTTACTGCATCATTGCATTAAAGAAAAATCTCCGATATTCTTTTGCGAGTCATTTTATAGCCTCTGGAAAGGCGGAGCTTCCAAGAAATGACGTCAGCCTCGTCAGCCAATCCAGTTCGCTTTAAATACTTCCAGAACATTCTATAACTGTACGTGTAGAAAAGGCGGGAAAAACAACTTGACTACGGGGCTGTGGATTTAATTCCACGTACTTTCAAATAAGAAAACGTCGCCATTAAAAATGAAAAGAACATACAGTTAAAATTTTAAGTGTATTCTTGATTATGGAATTTTATTATTACATATATATATAGTTTTTGGCGAAGTTTTATCAATTAATTTATAAAAATATTTCGAATACAGTTTCAGTTGTCTGTTTCGGCGAAACGCGATATGAAGTTAGCTTGATTCGAAAATCATTAAAAATAATTTCCCCTGAAGAGCCATAATGAGATTCGAATTAGGCTAATCTACCATTTACCGCTTCTTTGTTTATATATTTTTGCTTAAATCATTTGTCGCACTTTAATTCTAATGTTTAAAATATGCCTTACTTTGATTAGCATATTGCTTACAATTAGTATTGAATTTTATTTGTAAATATTCAAGTGTTTATATTGTTTATTTAATCTTTATTACACATTTCATTGCACTTTATTTTACTTATGTTAATATTTTCAAGGAACCACAGTATCTAAGCAACTTTTTTCTAAATTTTGGAGCGCAATGCGCAACGTTTTTGACCACATAGGTCTTTTATCGTTTGTTCTCTTTTCTTTAATTATATATATATATATATATAAAACAAAGAACTCATTTTTATTTTGAACTTAATTTGTATTAAAAAAGTACAAATCAGGTTCAAAATGAAAACTTTTCTTATTGTTCATTTGCATTTAAATTTGGGCAACGGCGCTTTTCAGTTCCAGTTCCATCCTGCAGAGGTTGGGCTGATAAATACACATATTGACTTATTTTTTCTGATTTAAAATTAATTCCATATAACCAAACATTTAATGGTTCAGAAGCAGATTTCTTCTTTTGCGTCTTTCGTTACACCAAGCCCCTGACAGAAATGTACCGGGAGATGTAAAATGTATTAGTTCTCATTAGGCTTGCACCTATCTAACGTAATTTTGTAATTTTGTAAGAATTTTGTTCTTGTACAGTGGTGGTTTATCTAGGAGCTTTGGAACAATTATCATCTTCTAGTTAATATCTAGCATCTGAAAACAACACTTTTTGTGCCATATTATTACTCCAGAATTGAATATATCTGGATTTACTTTAATAATACTTAAAATGCGAAACAAATATTGCTAAAAAGTATACAGGCTTTAGAAAAAAGACGTCAAAAATGGGAAAATTTCTGAAAGCAAATGCAGCTTGTTTATCCAGTGGACCGGCCGCCTCGCTGTCGGTGGAAAGAAAGGAAAGAAAGGAAAGTCTTATCGAATTCAATTTTCTTCATTCTGTCTATTCCATTTATTAGTTCGTAGTTGAATATCGAGAAGCAGATGTACTGAAATGCATTTGGGGATTTCCGAAAATGTACTCAAAGTCTTCTGGATAAAAAAAGTAACATTTCTATGTATTTTTCTCTGTTTATAGGACTTTGTCCGGAAGGAATTGCAATATGAATTAAGCAGGTTCTCTTAACATGAGATTGTCACAGTTTTGAATTAAATTTTATTGAATTCAGTAACCTTTTTGAATTCAATTTTCTTAACATTTGCACCTGATTGCAGCTCTGTCAACTCTGCATTTACAAGTTCGCAGCTGAAAGTTGTGACCCTAATGTACTGAAATAGAATTGGTGATTTTTGGAAATACGCTTCTTCTCAAAATCTCAACCAAAAAAAAAAAAAAAAAAACTTAGCCAATATCGAATATTTTTCTCTCTTTATGTGAATTAAATAATTTCTTTTAACAAGAGATCCTCATAATTTTAATTCAATTTCGAATGTTTTTATTATTATTATTAATTATCTGCTATCGGACAGAATGACGCGTATTCAGTTTATAGCAGTCATATAAAATAAAAATCAACCAATCGATTTTCCTTTTCAGATTCCACATCACAAGTGTTTTTCCTTTGTTTCTCTTGTACGACACGCTTAGGGACGCAGTTTTGACATATTAATTGCGCAGCAACCGATACTAAATTTTTTCTCAGTTAAGTTTTCGGATTTTATATGGGACATATAACAGAAGAGTTAATGGTAGTATTTTGACTTCTCGATTTTTCCACAATGAATATTTTACCGTACAATTCTGGTAATATCTCGAAATCTTTGGAATGTTGTAATATTATATGCACGATAAAACTGAGCAGATCCGACAGTTTCTATTAACCATTTTACCCCTCTGATGTCCTTTTTACTTATGGTTCAAATAAAAATTATTATTTACCGTAGAAATTCGATTATCCGTCATTTTCTTTTTGTCATTTTATCTATCATTTTGTATCTGCAAATAGAACGAATCCACCAAAAAACAAAAAATAAGGATAAACACATACAAAGGAAAGTATTTTAAAATAGGGCATATTGTACAATGAAATATGATTGATACATCACCACAATTTAAATAAAATGCTAAAGTACTATCCTTAAAACTATAGTGTTGCACTATCGATCAAAACCATAAAGAAAAATTTATTATTGCAGTATTGTTTCGATAATTATAAGAAACTAAGCTCATTATGAATAGTATATCAGGCAGTTTGCGAAATTTCCAGTACCAGTGCACCAAACTTCAACAGGAAATTATCCTTGTATTCGAAAATTAGAAAACATACTGAGCTAAAGTGAGCTACGTGAGTCATGCTAATGACTTTTCAAATTTATTATGTTTGGGATTTACTTTAAATATTATATTATTACGTTTTTTTCCCCTTCCTTTACGTTACGTATGTACGGGGTTCGTGCGGATTTGGAGAGAAAAACGACGACACTTCATGAAGTATCGCAGCACACTTTATTGGCCAGTATTATTCAAAACAACTCAATAACACATTTACACAGTCGTCGAAGATCTACTATAAACTCGCTGGAGCAATCAGCGACACAGCCTTCAGGTTATCAGGCTATAATGGTGGAGACAGCTTCACTGCAAAGTACCAGAGTACAGCTCCGGACTCTGATCGGTCGTACTCGGAACACCACGTACTCTCGAGACTCTCCACACTACAACTCGCGTTGCACTCACCGATACACTAGAGTACAGCTCCCGGCTCCTCGGTTCAGTCGTTCCCGGAGCTCAGCACACTCTCTCGACGATGCACTAACAGCGATACACTAAGAGCCTCTTTCGGTGCACTCGACGACCCAGTCGGTACTCGCTGACCGACTGTGAACTCGATGGGCTCTCTAACTCCGCACAGACTGACTAACTCTCCGCGTACCAGCAGGGTTTATATAGTTGTGTTCGAGAACATTCTGGGCTAAACCGGTAAGAATTCGTTCCAGAAGGTTCTCCACCCGTCATGGCATAAAACCAATTTTGTCGCCAAATGGGCGATTTCTCGCCAAATGTGGCAAGCCTGCCATTTTATGTCAACCCTAAAACATGCTTTGCGGGGAAGCTATCTTATCGCGAATGGACATTTCGTAACAATATGCATCTATTTCGAACGATTGGAAAATTTTGAGAACCCTGAAAAATACAGCTCAGTTTTAAACCAAAATAACCTTGCATGCATTATCGTCTTCCTGCCTGACACAGCTTAAGCTGAACGTTCAGAACAGAATGCTTTTAGCCACATGTCTAACTTCATCCCTTTCAATGAACGAACTTTATCTTTTCCAACAAAACAACTTCAACAAAACGTGTCTCCTGATGTATGAAAGAAATTAGAATCACTGGCAGGGTCTAAACAGGCTGATAAGCACCATACCCCAAGTGGAACAGCTGATCTGTAGATGGAGCAAAGTAAAGCAAAGTACTGCTTGTTGGCTTTCTTAGGATTTATAGTACCTTATACATTGTAGTCTGATTTAACAGGTACTATGAGAAGGGGCGGAATCATGTGCTTAAATAAGCAACTGAGAAAGAAATGATTAAAGGTGAAAAATATTTCACCCTCATGTCCCATTCACACCTGTTTGTGTTATTAAACCTAAATCTACACAAGTATGCTGGAAACAGATCGTGCCTCAAGGTTTGTCAGAGAGAGACTAGAATTTCGTAGGCTGGGTTCGTAGGCTTTTGGGAGAAGTTAACATGTAGGAAGCTAGCAATTTCCTGAATACCTGTGATAACTTCTTCAAATCCTTTTTTATACCTGGACATTTTTAATCTTTATTGTTTCAAAATGAGATAATTTCGTATCGTGGTAATTCGCTTTCGCTACCACTTTCTTATTTGTAAAAAAATTCTCAAGAAATAAACAAACAGAGAATCTACTGTTCCTAAGATATTCTCTAGTAAAAGTACTAGTTTGGAGACAAATCAAACTAATTTTAGTATAATACGGAAAATACTAGTAATAAACATAACAGAAATTTTTGGAAATATGAAACAGTGATTCAGAAATTGAGTTCAGTTCAAGACCTAGCGAAGATCATGTAGTATTGTAGCCACTTAAGTTACACCCTTCTTATTTCTTCAGATCGGTTAAATTTCATTGCTACTGTTCACACATATTGAGTATGTTGTGGCGAGAAATGTGAGAAAAGTGTCTCCTAATTCATTTACACGGATCACTTTAAAGAGCGAAATTACTGCTCAATTTTTTATAAAAAGGGTCTGCATTAAATGTATTTTAGCAATATACTTTTATTTATGCTATTCTTAAATTACTGAAACCAGTACTATTAGTTAAGATACAATAACACGCCGAACAAGTATCAATTTAGAAGTCAAACAACAAAATCAGCGTTATATTTTCAAATTTTCACAGACTAGTTTCGATGGTTTTACCGAACTATCATCCTCAGCTACAAAAACGCAGCTACTGGCGTCATCTGTTGATGAAACCAGAATTAAAACATAATTTCTTTCTTTTTCTTGTTACTCTTTTCTTTTCTTTCTTTCTTTTCATAATTTCATTCTTTCTTCTTTCCTTTTCTTTTTATCTATGTTATCTTATCTAATTAAGCTATCTTATCTCGTTCATTTGTGTTTTTGCAGCTGAGGAGGATGGTTCGGTAAAACCATCCAAACTAGTCTGTGAAAATTTGAAAACATAACGCTGATTTTTGCTGTTTGACTTCTATATCAATACTATTAGATTGCAAAATAAACTTACTGTAAAGTAACATAGTACTGTAAAGTAACATACTTCTGAAAAAAGTCAACCACTTCAGTCCAGTGCGAAAGCCGTCATTAATCTAAAAATATATTAGTTGCTCTCTTTTTCTTGAAATAAAATATGTAGTTTTTAAGCTTTTTAAAAATGAGTTGTCACTAATGCTAAACAGCTTTTATTAGAAAAAAAATCTTAAATTTTTAATACAACTTTCCTTGAATTAAGATCGTTAATCTAAATAAAACTAGTATAAATTTATATTCGAATTTTACCATAATTAAGATACAAAGAATAAGCCTACCTGCAAAAATAACAGAAATTGTTATCAATTATCAAAGATCATTATATCATATTTATGATACTTTTCAGGGCGCAACGAACTGAAGCGGGGATTTTATCATAAATGCTATTATTGGATTAAGGGCTGTCAGAAACCCATATACCCACAACGTTAAATTGGCCATTTTCGATGTACCTTTTCTTAAAATCTGCTGTAGATACACCCTTGAAATTTTTTGTGTAATTAAAGTATATCTATTCGATTATACTGAAACGAGCTTTTGAATCCTTTTGAATTTTAGACTGATTTACAGAATATTTTGTTAGGCATAGTAAAATTTAACACTTTTCTCACACAAAAAATTAAAAAATCAAATTTTCCTTAGTTTATCACAAAAAGCTCATTTCAGTAAATATTAGGAAACCTAATAAATAGGCCATAACATTTTCAGATACCTGTGAGCAGTAGTTCCTTAGAAAAGGTAAAAAAAAGTCACGTTTGTAAAAAAAAGTCACGTTTGAGAGAAAAACGGCGTTTTTTTATGTAAAAATCCTCATTTATCAAAGCATTCGATGACAAATTAAAACTAGATTTTTTACAGTTCAAATTTTCATAGAGACGAAAGAATGGCATTTTTAGAAAGATGGAAGTGTAGAGAATTTGAAAATGCAAAAATCCGAAGTCACCATTTTTTGAGTTCCAACATCCCTTAAATACATATAAGCTTTTACTCACCTGGAATCGCAGCGAACCTCAATAACATTGTCAGTACCCAGCCCCATCACCATACCAGCGCCTTTCATTGAGTAATGGCTCTGAAAAGAAAGAAAACGTAATTGACAGGGAAGCAATTATGTCCCAAACACTGAGCTTTCAAACGAGGCTAATATAGCACGTATTCCCATTTAGTGCAGCCAGGTTGTAGGACAGATCTTTACTATAGGCTATCGTTTTTTTAGCAGAATAAAATAGTTTCCTTACGTGTTCTGAGGTGTAGATGACAAGTTGTCCTAAGCCCATCAGTCCCTTTTGCTTGTAAGATGGAAACATACTATGTCGAGCACACAAAGCAGCGTACAAATTCGAGATGGATCCCCCTGTAAAATATTTGAGTCAAGTTTGCAATATTTTTAATGATTATGTTACTATTGACAGATCGTAGTCTAAGAAAAATGATAACCTGGTCCAAGGATGCTATCGCCGTTATGAAAACCGATGATATCTCTCATCTTCTTGAGCGTCACCTGTTCCATTAGAATGAACACAGGAGCTATTTCGTACGTGAACCTATGGAGGAGGAAGAGAATTAAAGCAAGATCTTAAAAGTTACTGCTCCTGATATCAGATTAATATCTTTTACCCACATGTTGGTATTTGCAGTCGCAGTCAGCCATTCTCCAGCCATGGATACAATATCTAATCCACTCGAAAGTTGATTGAAGAAGTGCGGGTGACCTGACGAAAAGAACAGCAAGTATGTTTATCACTTAAATATACTAGAATAGTGTACAAGTTAAATTAAAACTAGAAAAATATTTTAATGTATGCAAAATTATTCTTTTTTGATAAATATTGCTCCATTAATGATTCATTGAAAGCACAGAGCTCCTAAAAACAGGATTATTATTTGATTATCATTTATGAATGCGTAACTTTTCACTCGCAATGCTAATTTTAATAAGTATAATAAATTTGCTAACATTGTTCCCAAACTTTCGTTTTAGCTATTAAGTTATAATGATAATATTCTTTTTCTACCCATTCTAATTATTATTACGAGGAATTTTACGGAACAGTTTAATTAGTCCAAAGGGACTTGTCCCTGAAGGACTATTGTTTTCGTTTTGCGATTTTGCGTCCATTCACTTCAAACGCAGAATCACTTTTCAAACTGTTGCCATAAGCTATTATCGCCCTGTGTTGTATTTAAAGAAATTAAATAATGAAAAATCAGCATAAATGTATGTCTATTTCTCACATTGTGATAAAATAACGGTACATAGAGCTATCGGATTTTGAATGACGTTATCCTCCTACGATATGGGCATGTGGAAGACCAAATTTGAAATTTGGAATCTGTTTCAGTATCGATTTCCTATTTTGTAAAACGTTAATGAATTTTTGATTAACAAACTCAAGGATTTCAAAGGGAGCCATGGCAACGTTGCACAGAAAAAGCATTTTTATCTCCAGTGCGTGAGTCTCTCTATCGGAAATTCTAAAGATGTGCTCATTTCAAAACTATTTTGCGATATTGCTGTTGATCTGAATTTTACGGTTTAAGTGCGAAAAACGTCATATTTAATAAATAAATTTAACACGCAAAATGTTAAAAAATTGCCCCTTTGGACATAATTTAAAATCTGAAATACTTCAGATTTTCTTTTTATTTATGCAATAGTTCTACGATGTTGAACTATTGTTTTATCTATGCTGCTTAAAAAAAATTATTTTCAGTTCTACTCTCTATATATTATTTGACTTAAATTAAAACCGAATCCGTCAAAGACTTCTCCATTAAATAGTTGAATAGGTGTCTATTGAACTAAGTAAATATTTCTTGAAAGATTTGATTCTCAGAAATATTTATTAAGTATACATTTCTAAAGACGTTAGGTTAATTTAAAGCAGGAGTGCCGAAAAAGGAACACTGCCCTCGCCAGGACTCGAACCACTGACCTCTCGAATACGGGCCGAGTGGGCTGACTATTACACCCCGAAGACATGCTAAGAAGGCGGGATAAATACCTTATACATTGGTTTTAATTTCTGTTCAATAATGACTAATAACGGTATTTTGTTAATCACAGAAGTTTAAGAATAAAACTACTGTAATTATCAGATAGGAAGATAACAGCAGTTAGTTCGTTAAGTGCTATGTTTTCGTGTGATCTAAAAGTACTGTTTTTACCTGTAATATTATTGCGATGTCATATTTCTGCATTACATTTAATCTAATGACAATCCTATTACCACTGGTATATAAAGATAACATTGCGCCAAAGAGAAACATTTTCGTCTACCATTTCCTCCGTGAAAAAATACTACTATTCCTTAGCAAGTAAATTAATGAATACAAAGAACTGGGAACACAGAACTGTATAATTATGGTAACGTAATACAAATGTATTTTATTGCGTTATGTATAAGCAGTAATAGATTCTGCAGAACTTGATCACACACTTAATATGAGTATTATAAGGTATTTCTACCCCTTCCCTAGCGTGCCTTCGTGGTAGCACGCTGGGCCGGTATTCCAGAGGTCTGTGGTTCGATTCCCGGCGAAGACGGTTGCATATTTTTCATCTCTCTTGCTTCCAATTAACCTAATGACTCTACAGTATAATGAAGGTTATTAGCTCAAGTTTTGAGTAGTAAGTTTATCAGAAATTTAGTTTGATCAAATTCAAAATCTAAACAATGTTATTGTACTGATATTAATCTATGAAATAAATTTTATAAGCTTGGAGAAAATTTCATTAGAAATTTATTAATTTATGATTATTGTTGAAATATTACGCCATATTTTCTGTGAAATGCTAATGATTTTGAAACAAAACTTGAACCTTTCGTTTAATTATGCATTACTTTCGGGGTTAAAAGAACCCTTTTTTTAATAAGCCTTTACGCGAAGGCGTGAAGGTAAAAGCATATTTCTCTCTCTAGTTTTCCCAAGTTTTAATTTCTAAAATTAGAAGTGGCTGTGCCCTATGGAAGACCGTCAGCAAAGAGGAACAAAAGTAAAGAAATAAATAAAATGACTATTAAATTCATTAAAAATTTTAAAATTAAGTAGTTAATCATTTACGAAATTAATATTATTTAATTAATTTTAGTAATTATATATTAGTATATTATTTTTTTATTAATGATTATTATTTTATTAAATAAAATTAATTAATTAATTATTAAAATAGTTGAATAATTAAAGTAATTAAATAATTAAATTTAGATAAAATGTAAAGAGTAAATTAAAATTTAATAAGCGATTTGTAATATAATTTTATTGCAAAAAATTTTCGATATCAAATTTGTACTGAAATTGTTGTTCAGTTACATAAAAGAAGCGCCGGAGCTCTCTTATTTAGAGCTTCCGTGCGCTCCGAGTGGAATTATGATTTAACCCAAAAACTAAGAAGTACCGGAGCCGGGTTCCGGTGGACTCCGACGCAATTTAATCTCTGAGTTTTCCCCCGGTTTCGAAAGAGATTAGAAATCATTATCTGAACGTTTTCTGCATCTTGAACACCTTCAGAATTAAGGATTAGGAGAATCATTTTGAGGAGTAAATGTAAATTAAATGTAAGTTCTAGTCATTGAAAAATTTGCCCAGTAGCAGTCTTGCGATTATGACCGCTGAACACCGGTATTTCAAATCCCGGCGAAGGAAATAGCTGCATGAGTGTTTTCGTGGTTTCCCTCCTGTGTAACATTAGTACAAGCCAGGCCTTTTAGAGAAACCTTCCACTCAGCCATCCTTCTCTTAAGCAGATAGCCCTAGTGTAATTTGCCGTAATCTAATAAATGAAACCACTAAGAAAAATATGGTAGATTATGGATATGGTAGAAAATTATTTAGGATATGGTAGAAAATGTCAATCCGTTCTACAAAATTTAGAAGAAAGTTTTCTCCTTTCTCAATCTCTTTCTCTAATGAAGCATCTAATTTACTTTTGAGTAACTTGTAGAGACATTAGTTTAACTGGAAAACCCAGAGAGATGAAAAATCAGCAATTGCCTTCAAAGGGAATCGAATCACGGACCTCTGGATACCGACCCAGCGTGCAGAACCACTACACCTCGAAGTCGGAAGGAATACGTTATGTACTCCCCCTTTTAAAGGGCGACTGGGGTTTTTAGGAGACCCAATCACCAAATCTTGGGTGACGAGAATCATTATCCAACATCCTTTTAGTTCGGGCGCCACTGTAGAGGCATTAGGTATTACTTGGAGGCAAGAGAGATGAAAAATTAACAAAGCCTTCGCAGGGAATCGAACCGCGGAACTCTGGAATACCGGCCCAACGTGCAGACCACCACACCACGAAGGCATGCCAAGAAGACGGGACAAATACCTTATATACTCCCCTTTTTAAAGGGCGACTGGGGTTTTTAGGGGACCTTATCGCTAAATCCTGCGTGAGGAGAATAATCATTCAACACCCTTTTAGTTCGGGCCCCACTGTAGAGTTATTAAGTTTATTTCAGAAGCAGGAGACTTCGCAGGGAATCGAACCGCGGACATCTGCATACCGGCCCAGCGTGCAGAAGCACCACGAAGGCACGCCAGAAAGGTCGGAAATATACCTTATAAACTTTAACTTTAATGCTTATCTACATTTCCAAAATTGTACAATTTAAAGAAAATTTGACCACACTGAAATTTTAAAATATCTGTTAGTAACAGATATAGTCATCCTCTTCTGTTTTTTTTTCCATCATTTTGCGTTTCGTTAAATGATTGCCTATAAATATTTAAATTATTATTTAGGAACATAGAATTCGGACATTTCGCAGAATAAAGAGGATTTTTTAAAGAAACATATGAGGTACTGTGGTATAAAATATAATAAGGTATTATGATATGAAATATAATGAGGTATGATGGCATCAAGTAATCTCTACATATAATAAAAGAAAGAGTCTGTGTCTTTCGTTCGTGCTGCGCGTAAGCTAACAGAAGGCTACGAAATTTGGTATATATGTGCATCTAGACAAGAGCGAGTGCACCTCGAAGCGATTTTTTCAAGATTCGAATCAGATTTTTTTTTTTAAATTTTATCCTTTCGATTTTATCGAATCATTTTCAATAGTTTCATTCTTTTAGAAATGTGGTTTTGTCAACAGTTTTTCATTCAATTGCATACTGGACTGCTGACTGTTGAAAATCAGCACTGCTGCCACTGGGAAAAATGAAGGCGATCATTATGTGCAGTTTTTAAATTTAATGTTTCTCTTGGATACTGGACGTTTGTGGAGAGAAGGCAGCAGGAAGTTGGTTAATTTATTTATTAGGATAATTAATATTTGTATTAAGGGATATCGCTTATTTCATTATAATTTTGCTATATGTAATACATTTTTATTTAATTATTTATTATTCTTTTTTTAATGAAGTTGTTCTTCAGAGTAAAATTCTGCGCAGTTTTTAAATTTAACGTTTGATGTTCCCTTCAGACATTTTTCGGTACATTTCAAAGCCAGACAAAGCCTGGCCGCGTAGCTGTTAGTTAAATATAGAGGAATAAAATGAGTTGAACTTATTTTTAATGACACTTAATTAATTCTTAAGATTTAATTTAAATAAAACTGTCTAATTCTTTCAGATGCAAATTAATAACATCAGTAATAGTTTAATAGATGAAAGGAACAAAATTAATTTTTTCGGTCTTAACTTGAAGCTGTGTTGGAAAACATAATTATTTGAAAAACATTTTTGTTCTAAAAAAAAAAAA